AAGAGTTGAAACCTCATAGCTGAAATTACTGTATGGTACTTCCACCTGTGCTGCTCCTAATGGTCTAAGAAGGGTGAAGAACATGCCAATAGGGTATATACAGCTGTGAGGAGACTGCTGAGCACATGAAATTCTAAATTCTATAGAGACATTGGAACATGAAATTCTTAAATTCTTTTATTTTTTTTACTTTTTCCTCCTTTCAGAGAAAGATATCAAGTTCTTGTATGAAGACATTATTTAAAAGTGCATTTCAATTTTCTTTGTAGCTGTTTTTTTGTCCTGACATTTATATGTTGTAGAATCTCAGACTCCTGACAACTTTTTCTGTGCAGTCAGTTCTGCTTTAGGAATGTAAAAAATGTTGTTAACTCAGTCTGAATACTTTCTTTGATATTCTTATTGCAGAATGTTTATATAATCAAATGAACAAGTTCAATTTTTAGAAATATTTTTATCTTTTGTCTTCTGAAATATTTCCAGAATTCAGGGGAAGGACCCAGCCACTGATGCTTGAAAAATTCTTTAGGTTCTAAACAGATAGAATCCAGTCATTTCTTTAAATGTCTGTTTATTTTATAGTCTGACTATTTGAACTTCAGAATAAGTTATATGTTTATGGAACACACTGCTTTGAAATAAAACTAATGGCCATGCTGACTGCATGGTAACCTGTTGAAACGTGTGAACTGGTTTAAGTGTGTTAAGTCAGTGTAATGATTTCAGGTTACATAAGAGAATAAATGGTGACCTGAGTATTCATATAGCTAAAAAGAAATGACAGGTCTGTTCACCAAGTTGACCGTAGCATTAAACATGTGCTTCTCTTATGGCAGTTTATATTTGAGTTTAAAAAATAAATTACCTTTTAACTGAGAAATAATAGACCCCAATGCCCCAGCACTTCTATAGCAACCCTAATAAAACTGGTTTTAACATTTTTGAAGAAATTTAACAGGTTATGTAAAATATTATATTCTTAATCTAGTCTGGATTACTGGTATATGACAGAGTATTAAAATCTATAAATAGTTTTATATATGATTCTTCACTGATTGTATTTAAATATATTTTCCAGGATGTCACTAAGCTTCTAAAATATGATGATTCACTATTTATGAAGTTACAGAGCTACACAGAATGTCTGTTTCAGTTCTGTGTTTCAGCAGAAGTCAGACTCACAAAAGCTGTGGCCATCAGCAGCAGCCAGTGTACTTGCCCATCTAGGCAGATGAATATGTTGCCTTTT